GTTCGTAAAGATGTAGAGAAACTGGAAACCTCTTACATTGCTCATGGGAATAAAAAAAAAAAATGGTCCAGCCACGTTAGAAAAGTGTATGGCCATTTCACCCAGTTTTTCAATTTTATTTCACTCTTAGTTATAGACCTGTGTAAAACTAGAACACGTTCCCACAAAAACGTGTACTTGAATGTTCTGGGCAGCAATATTCATGAAGGCGAAATTTAAAAGCAGCCCAAATTCCCATCAACTGATGAATGGATAAATAAAACGTGGGCCTAGCCATGGTAGCACAGAGGTAGAACAATGCTCTGCAATGCTCTGCAATGCTGTAACAGAAGCCACAGAGAATACGGAGGTCTGGGTCTCTGATAAACTTATACTCACAAGGCACATGCCCACCTGCGATCTTGCACTTGGCTAGAAAAGACTCGGGGGAAGAATCACGGTGTGAGACACTGTTGAAAGTGCTTGCCTTTGTTTCTCTGTTTCTCTCTCATGAAATACGTATTTGGTCTATCATACAATTCATCATCTTACATTCAGCCATAAAAAGGAATGAAGTACTGACAAATACTACATAAATGAACACTGAAAACATGCTAGGTGAAAGAAGTCAAACACAAAAGACCACATATTGAAGGACATTTATAAAAAAATGTCAAGAACAGACAAATCTGTGGAGACAAACCAATTAGCAGTCACCTAATGCTGAGGAACCAGGAAAGATGTGATTGCTAATGGGTATACGGTTTTTTAGAAGAGGAGGTGTTGAAAATATTCTAAAATAAATTGTAGTTAGGATACTACAAGTTCTGTGTATACTAAAAAACACTAAGTTGTACTTTTTCTTATTTACTTGTTTATTTGCCAGAGGGTGTATGTACTTGCCAGAGAGAGATAGTGAGACAGAGGGCAAGATGGAGAGAAAGAAAGCATGTCCAGTGGGGCAAGGTCATGCTGCAATCCTTCCCCTCTATTTCTTCATCCTTTCAGAACTCTGGGTGTACACACACACACACGATGCACCTGGTCTTTAAAGCTGTCGGGGCCAGGACTCAAACTGCGGTCAGCCCTGTGGGGTCCACTTCCCTTAATCACTCGACCACAGGATTGGCCTCTGAATTGTACATTTTAAATAGTGAATTAATAATGGTATATGATTAGATTTCAATATAGCTATTAATTTTAAATCTATATTTCTGTAGCAGACTGCTCTATATAATACAAAATGACTTCATCATTGCTGTCATACTCTATAGGACACATCACTCAGAAAATTCATCCTCTCCTAGTCTGCTTTTCAACAAGTCCAGTAGAGTCGAGTCCTTTTTTTTTCAATGTAATAACACGAAAGTAAAGTGGCCTAGTAGTGATGTTTCATGATTCACACAAATTGTTCTGCTATTCTCAAGATGCTCATATTTTTGAGAAACACAAAAACAAATGGATGTTATGCCAGTTACTACCTCCCACCAAAGACAGAAAAATAAATTTTCTTAAGAAGAAATATACCGTAAGAAGTTCACTATGACACAGTAAATCATTGTTTGCCATCTTAATACTCTTAATGCTCTTCATGGGATGTAAAGTAAGATTACGAAGCCAGTCCTACAGTGCTGTGTTACATGCTGTGTATTGGAAGCCAGATTCCACATGACCAACTGCAGTTTGAATCCAAGCTTCAGTGGCTTGAAAGTCATGCTGGGCGCATGTGCATGCATGCCCAAAATCCTGATGGGAAGGAGAAAAAGTGGAAAAGAATGGTAGCTTGACCATGTCCCATTGAGAGGCATTTTTTTTCTCTCCCTCTGGCAAACATACACACCACCTCTGGCAATGGAAAATAAATTTAAATAAAGAAATATTATAAAATTATATGTGGGGGACCAGCAGATGGCATAATGGTTATGTTGCTGGATTCCCATGCGTTCAACCATGGTGTGAATCCTGGACCCGGTGGCTTAAAATTCATCCCAGATACATGTACATGTATGGGTGTGGTTCTCTGGTAAACTTGTACTCACATGCCCCAAACCACAAGATGAGAATGGAGGAGAAAGGACTACAGTGTGGCCAGTCACCCCAGGGGGTGATTTCTCACTTTCTGTCTATCCCGGTGTACAAGTGCCCTATAGCAAAAAAACTCTCTAAAAATATAAACAAAATTATGTGAGAAAAATGTTTAAGAACTCATACCTCCCAATTTCAAGACTTACTGTTTTAACTGCAGAAGGCACATTTACTTACCAGTGAGAGACAGAAAAAGAGGGAGAGGGAAAAAGCATTCCCCCCCCCCCACCACCACCACCAGGGTAGAGACACAGTTATGCTGAAATCCCTTCTCCTCCATTTCTCCATCCTGTTGGGGTTCGGGGCAAGAATGCACATGTGGCCAGCATGTTTTATAAGCTGCCAGGGCCAGGATCTGAATGGCAGTTAGACATGTGGGATCCAGCTCCCTTACGCACTAGGCTAAGCCCAGCCCTTAAGATTTATGAAAAAGCTATCGTAATCAAGACAATGTGGTACTGATATATGAATAGGCATGTAAACAACAGAATTGAGAGTTTATTTATATAAACCCAAATACTTACGGTCATTTGATTTTAGATAAGGGTTCTAAGATAATTCATGCATAAGGAATAATTTTTTTTAACATACATGATTGGGACAATTGAATGTCCACATGGAAAAGAATGAAGTTGGGCCCTTGTTTCATCACACAATAATAAAAATTACCTAAAAAATGATCAAAGATTTAAATGTAGAAGCTAAAATTATAAAACTTTACAGAAGAAAACACAGGTATAAATCTTTATAATCTAGAACAAGGCAATGATTATAGATATGAAACCAAAAGCCCAAGCAATCAAAAGTAAACTAAATTGGATTCATAAAAAGCTTTTGTGCTACAAATAAAACTAACAAGAAAATGAGAAGACAATTTAACAGGATAGCAGAAAATTTTGAAAGTCATACATCTGATAAGGAACATATAATAGTTTATTACAAGTATGTAATAAAAAGATAACCCACTTAAAAATGTGCAATGGATCTCGACAGACATTTTGCCAAAGTAGATAAACAAATGGCCAGTAAGGAAAAGAAATGCTCAACATCATTAGCTCTCAGGCATGCACATGTCAAAAACTATAATGAGATACCTTTCATACCCACAAGTATAACTATAATAAAAAAAAAGACAGGTGTTCGTAAAGATGTAGAGAAACTGGAAACCTCTTACATTGCTCATGGGAATAAAAAAAAAAAATGGTCCAGCCACGTTAGAAAAGTGTATGGCCATTTCACCCAGTTTTTCAATTTTATTTCACTCTTAGTTATAGACCTGTGTAAAACTAGAACACGTTCCCACAAAAACGTGTACTTGAATGTTCTGGGCAGCAATATTCATGAAGGCGAAATTTAAAAGCAGCCCAAATTCCCATCAACTGATGAATGGATAAATAAAACGTGGGCCTAGCCATGGTAGCACAGAGGTAGAACAATGCTCTGCAATGCTCTGCAATGCTGTAACAGAAGCCACAGAGAATACGGAGGTCTGGGTCTCTGATAAACTTATACTCACAAGGCACATGCCCACCTGCGATCTTGCACTTGGCTAGAAAAGACTCGGGGGAAGAATCACGGTGTGAGACACTGTTGAAAGTGCTTGCCTTTGTTTCTCTGTTTCTCTCTCATGAAATACGTATTTGGTCTATCATACAATTCATCATCTTACATTCAGCCATAAAAAGGAATGAAGTACTGACAAATACTACATAAATGAACACTGAAAACATGCTAGGTGAAAGAAGTCAAACACAAAAGACCACATATTGAAGGACATTTATAAAAAAATGTCAAGAACAGACAAATCTGTGGAGACAAACCAATTAGCAGTCACCTAATGCTGAGGAACCAGGAAAGATGTGATTGCTAATGGGTATACGGTTTTTTAGAAGAGGAGGTGTTGAAAATATTCTAAAATAAATTGTAGTTAGGATACTACAAGTTCTGTGTATACTAAAAAACACTAAGTTGTACTTTTTCTTATTTACTTGTTTATTTGCCAGAGGGTGTATGTACTTGCCAGAGAGAGATAGTGAGACAGAGGGCAAGATGGAGAGAAAGAAAGCATGTCCAGTGGGGCAAGGTCATGCTGCAATCCTTCCCCTCTATTTCTTCATCCTTTCAGAACTCTGGGTGTACACACACACACACGATGCACCTGGTCTTTAAAGCTGTCGGGGCCAGGACTCAAACTGCGGTCAGCCCTGTGGGGTCCACTTCCCTTAATCACTCGACCACAGGATTGGCCTCTGAATTGTACATTTTAAATAGTGAATTAATAATGGTATATGATTAGATTTCAATATAGCTATTAATTTTAAATCTATATTTCTGTAGCAGACTGCTCTATATAATACAAAATGACTTCATCATTGCTGTCATACTCTATAGGACACATCACTCAGAAAATTCATCCTCTCCTAGTCTGCTTTTCAACAAGTCCAGTAGAGTCGAGTCCTTTTTTTTTCAATGTAATAACACGAAAGTAAAGTGGCCTAGTAGTGATGTTTCATGATTCACACAAATTGTTCTGCTATTCTCAAGATGCTCATATTTTTGAGAAACACAAAAACAAATGGATGTTATGCCAGTTACTACCTCCCACCAAAGTAACATAAAAGATGATACTGGTGTACATTATAGGACAGATGTAGAGCTTTAAATTAATGACTAAATTATAGGAAAATACCCATTTTCTCTATCTCTAACATTTTCTCTATTATTAACATCTTTTAATTCTAGGTTCAGGGTTTTCTTCTGAAAAGATGAATAACTATGTTAGACTAACTGAAATTAGTTTAAAAATCAACAAACATTTTAGATATATGTATCCTACCAACTGCTAAGGGAGGGATCACTAAGCAAAATTTTACTTTTTAAAAATGAAAGCACTTCCTCATGCACATCTGCCACAATAATGTTTATTATATGTTTACCATAGCAATCCTGGTTGTATCACTATTTTTTTCCTGGGCACCCAGTTCTTCTGGTTTTTGAACTTCTTGAATTCCATTCACAAGGCCTGAAGGTTGCCATGAATCATTCCCTGTATCTTTAGATGTAGAAAAACACCAATCCTGTAAAGGAAAAAACCTGCAACAATAAACTGAGACGCAGTGCCTCATCATCCAAAAATGAGAACAACTTGGGCAAGGTGAAGGCATGGAAACAACACATATTAAATCAGAAATGATGTTTATTAACTTTTCATATCGGTGTCTTTCCTTTTTGCTTTACTGGTGTATACCCAGTATCTTGAATGCTTCTGAACACAAGAATAGTTTTTACTTTTTTTTTTTGTAAGAGAGATTTGTTCTATAGGGCACATGTGCTCACTGGAGAGACAGAAAGAGACAGAGACACAGAAAGTGAGAAATCACCCCCCCTCCCAGGGGTGATGGCCACTCTGCAATCCCTTTTTCCCCACTCTCCTTTCAAAATCTTGGGCACACACATGCACCTGGCGTGTTTTAAGTTGCCAGGTCTGGGACTCAAACTGTTGGCAACTATGTGAGAGTCCAGTAACATAACCATGATGCCATCTGCTAGTCCTGAAACATATTTTATCTCATAAAAATAAATACAACTCTGGGACCAGCAAATGGCATCACAGTTACGTCACTGGACTCTCACATAGTCAACCGTGGTTTGAGTCCAAGATGCGATGTCTTAAAACTCACGCTGGGTATGTGTGTGTGCATACCCAAGATCCTGAGAGGAGAATGGAAGAGAAGGGATTGTGGCTTGGCCTCCCCCCCTGGGGGTGATTTCTTGCTTTCTGTCTCTCTCTGTCTCTACCGCAAGCACACGTGCCCTATAGCAAAAATCTCTCTCAAGAAATAAATGACTGCTGGGATTAATGACTGCTGGGATTTATAATCACTTCTCCAGTGCAGGGAATTTTCCTTTCTGTCTGTGGGAATTTCTGGAATCCCCTTTATCAGCCTTTGTCTCTTTCCCATAGTTGGTTAGTATCACTACACAAAGTGCTTGCTATCACTTAAGATGACATATTTCTATAGTAAATTTTTACTTTATTGTGCACTCATAGTAGCATTCAGAATAAATATAAAGGATTATGCCAGACTGGTATTATTGAGTTGCAGTGTGTCTTACTGCTTTCCGGTATTTATCTAATGTATGTTTTTTTGTATGGACAGAATTATATTATTCTACCAGAGTATTGCAACATAACTACTAAAAAACATACCCTATGGCACCACAACACACCACGAGATATCTGCCTTTTAGCTCCTCACTTATCAATCAATTCACTTGATGATCTAGTTGTAGGAACAAAACTGGGTCATTAAATGAGGAGGGCCTATATTTTCTTTCCTATTATTTTTCTGACTAGATGATTTCTTGTGATCATCTGGTATTTAAATGACACAAATACTAAGAGGGAACTTAATCTTAAAGTAGATAATTTTTGCTTCTTATAACCAGTAGAAAATATATTACAATTTAAATATATACTTAGCAAATTTTCTGAGTGTAGAAATACTGATGTTGGTGATGCAGTGGTAAAACATGAAATCAAGGCAATCCCACATGGGACTTCCCTTAACATACCAAAATAAGTGTGCCAATGATCAGGGGCTGGCTGAAGACTAAGGGTGGACTGCAGTGTTGGGAACTATTGGGGGGTGCTTTATCTCTCTTTTTCTATCTCTCTCTTGATCATGGAAGAGAGAAACTTTTCCAAAAAAGTTTGTAGAAAATAATACATAAGAGGTTATATCACAAAGCTAATGAAACAAAAATAGAGAAAAGTTTCTTTTCTCACAGATTCTAAGGCCTTGATTGGGACCAATGATAAATAAAAATGATGACTGAAAGGACAAGTATGCACAATAAGTCCCTAGTTTATTCTCCTTGCTACATCCTATGTCCCCTTACCTATCAAAACCATTTTTTGAAAAGAAAATAAAAAGTATTCTCTTGAATTATGGCCTGATAAATCCTTTTGAATACCAGGATGTATGGATTTCTTGAGACCTGGACAATTAAATTTAAATTTCCTTTTTTCAAGTACTCATTTGTTTTCTGTTTTTCCAAGGATCTAACCTTCTGTGGCATTTCTTTACATGACAGATACTGTTTCTTTTCACCAAGGCTTGAGGTAAATGGATGGGAGGCAGGATCACCTCCTTTTCTTATTTGTGCCTGGAGAGGTAACCAGTTCTCATCCCAAATATCATCACCTATGGTCACTGACTCCAGGCATGGCATTCCAGTGGGAATCTCATCCTAGAATGTATCAGAAAACAATGGAAAATTGTAATTTACAGTTCCTATATAACCACATTTTAAAATTTAGGTTTACAATTTTTCCCTTACTCCAGGTGAGGATGACAATTTTAATACACATTGTATTACTCTCCCTCCTGAAATACCACCAAAATAAAAATAAAGAGATTTAAAGTATAAACTTTATGATCAAAGAAAAAAGAGGAGAAAACACCATCTACATTCTGAATACAGGATAGCAAACGAGTGACTACTGAAGAGGAACTCCCAAGAAAGTGAAGTCCTGTCCTGTCCTGTCCTGTCTTTTCAGTGGAAAAAACTAAGAAGTGATCCAAATTTATACCAGAGATACCTTAAAAGCTCAGGAATTGGTACTCAAAAGTGTTTGGAGGTGATGGGGTAAAATGGGAATGAAACAAGAGTTAGAAAGTCTGTGTGAGAAGCATATCTCCAGATACTCTCTCCTCCAAGGATTCAGCAACTGCACCTCATTCACCTGCTAAAGACTGGAAGTTCTGAAGGGACAGAGGTGTGTTCTGAAAGGTAAAACTAAGGCTGGACCAAGCATGAGAAAAGTGAAGAATTAAATGAAGGTTTATATGAATATTGAGATCCCCAGACTTATTAATAGCAGGACAAAAATGAAAAGAAAGAATTGAAAGCAGAACCATAGAATTTATCCAGTATGAACAACAGGAAAAAAGACTGGGAAAACAAAAACAAGAAATAAAAGACAGAGCTTCAGGGAGTAATGGTACAATACCAAGATTTAACATTTCTGTCATTAATAAAGTTCCAGAAAAAGAAGGGGAAAAAATGTAGCACAAATAACTAGAAGAAATATGGCTTAAAATTCCCCAAATTTGGTGAAAAATATAAACCTACAGATTAAAAAATGTTAGCAAATCCCAAACAAGATAAAGTCAAAGAAATTCATGCCTACATAGATTATAATAAACCTGCTAAAAACTAAAGACAGAGAAACTATCTTGAATGTAGCCACAGAAAAGTAATATGTTACTTATAGAGAAAGAGAAACCATGAAGGCCAGAAGGAAGTGAAAAGAAATTTTTAGAGTGTTGAACGAAAAAAAACCTGGCAACCCAGATTTCTATATCCAGCAAAAAATATCTTTCAAGAATGAAGAAATAAATAAGTTCTCAATAAAGAAAAATGAGAAAACCCATCGTCAGCAGACTTGTTCTGAAAGAATTACTAAACAAAGTTCTTTGGACACAAAGGAGATGATACCAGAAGAAAACTTGTAATACAAGGAAAAGGAAGAGCAACAGAAATGAAATGGATATATATTATTCTCTCGACTTTTTAAGAATATGTTTGAAGGTGGACAAAAAAAGATATAATATACATTTTCAAAGTGTGTATTAATAGATGCATTACATAAGACAAGTATAGCAGAAAGAAAGCAGAAAAGGGTTGAAGACTTACGCAGTGGTAGGATATTAACATTCCACTCAAAGAAGCAAAATCTTGATTAACTGCATTGTAAAAAGCCAAGGATGCATATTATAATTACTAGAGCTGCCGCTAAGAAAAATTGTACAAATAAATATAATAAAAACAAAATAAATAAATTAAAATGGAATACCAAAACATATTCAAATAACCTAAAAGAAATCACCTAAAAGAAATCAGGAAGGGGGAAGCAGATCAATGAAAATCAGGGAAAACAAACAGAAAAAATAAAATGCTAGACCTAAAATAAAAATATATCAATAATCTCATTAAATGAACATAGCCTAATATACTAATTAAATTCAAATTGTTAGGGCCAGCAGGCGGAGCAGTAGTTAATGCACTGGACTCCTACATGGCCAACTGTAGTTTGAGTCTTGGATCCGACAGCCTGAAACTCACACTGGGCATGTGTGTATGAATGCCTAAAATCTCTAGAAGAGAATGGAGGATAAGGGGTTGCAGCGTGGCCATCTCCTCTGGGGGGCTGATTTCTTGCTTTCTGCCTCTCTCTCTCTGGTGAGCACATGTGCCCTATAGCAAAAATCTCTCTCTCAAAAAAAGAATAAAGTAGAAGGAATAATCCTTCAAAACTACAATAATCAAGATAGTATGGTATTAATGAAAGAACAGAACCACAGATCAATGGAGCTTAATAGTCCCTACAAAAAGTCTCTTAGAAATACATACAACTGATTTTTGTTAAGGCTTCAAAAGGCAATTCAATGGAGATAGACTTTTCAACAATGGTAAAAACTGGAAATCCCAATGCAACAAAATAAGCCCAGGCTTAGATTTAGACCTTACACCTTATGCTAAAATTAACTCAATAACTCTTGAAACTGGAAAAACTACATATTTTTTTTAAAGTTGATATATTGGAGTTTCTGAAAATCAGAAACTTTTACTCTATGAAAGACACTATTAAAATAAGAAAAAGACAAACTATAAGAGTATATCTGGGAGAATGTATTTGAAAACCACATTTTTCCAAGGACTAGTATCTAGCAAATATAAAGAACTCTCAAAAATCAACAGTAAAGGGGCCAGCAGGTGGCATGGTGGTTAAGGCACTGGACTCCCACATGGCTGACCTCAGTTCGATTGCCAGAGCCAGCAGACAAAATCATGCCAGGTGTGTGTGTGTGTGCGTGTTCATGCCCAAAATTCCAAGAGGAGAATGGAGAATGGACTGCAGCGTTTCTCCCTTCCCCCTGAGGATGCCTTCTCATTACCCCCCTCTCTATTTCTCTGTCTCTCTAGCTAGAGAGTGCACATTCCCTAAGGCAAAAACCTAGAACAAACAAAAACTCAATGGTAGGACAATAACTAAAAATAAATGGGCAAAAATCTTGAATAGACATTTCACTAAGAAGCATATATGGATGGCAAGTAAGCAAATGAAAAGATGTCTGACATCATTAATCATTAGTGAGATACAAATTAAAATCATGCTGTGGAGGTCCAGGAGGTGGTGTGTTGGTTAGGATGATGGCTGATCATGGTTCGAGTCCTGGACCTGGCAGCTTGTTTTCTTGCTTTCGTTCTCTCTCTCTCTCTCTCTGGTGAACACAGGAGCCACGTAGAAAATTGAAAAGTATTAATAATAATTAATAAAAGTAAATAATTCTTAAAAAATTATGCTGTGATACTACTACATACCTACTAGAATGGCTAAAATAAAAATTACTGACAATGACAAATGCTGACAAGGATATGGAACTGGAATGCGCACACAGCTAGTGGGAAAGCAGTTTGACATACACTTATTACATGACCCAACAGTCCTGCTCCTAGAAATTTACCCTAGATAAATGAAGCTTATACTGCTACAACAACTTTTAAATAAATATTTATGACAACTCTATTCATAATTTCCCCAAACTGGAAATAATTCCAATGTTCTTCAATGATAGATAAATGGATATACAAACTGTGGTGTATCTGTACAATAAAATTCTACTCAGCAATAAAAAGGAACAAACTATTGATAAATGCAAAAACTTGAATACATCTCAAAGGTACTGTGCTTAGTGAAAGAAGTCAGTCTCATGAGGTTACTATATCATTCCACTTATATGATAGTCCTGAAAAAGGTAAAATTAGAATAATGGAAAATGGGGTGAGGAATGTCAGAAGATTGTGATTACAAAGGGGGTAGCACAAGAGGGTATATTAGGTAATAGAGCTGTTCTGTACCCTGACTAGGGTATTGGTCACAGAAATCTATACAAGTATTAAAACAAACACACAAGGGACCAGCAGTTAGCGTAATGGCTGCGGTTCGAGTCCCAGATCCAGTGGCTTAAACTCCTGCTGGGAGCATGTGCTGCGTGCCCAAGATCCCGAGAGGAGAATGGAGGAGAAGGGACTACAGCGTGGCCGTCCCCCCCAGGGGGTAATTTCTCGCTTTCTGTCTCTCTGTCTCTCTCTGTCTGTCTGGCAAGCGCATGTGCCCTATAGCAAAAACCTCTCCAAAACAAACAAACAAACAAACAAACAAACACACACACAAAAGGAAAGTTAGTTTTATTGTATGTTAATTTAAAAAGAATTAAGTATGAACATAAAAGAAATAAAAGTTATACAAGAAAGGATGTCATGGCATTCTATTTGGCCTAGCCAGGTATTGCCACTACATAGCTATAATGACATAAATACCAAATGGTGATCTACAGGAAAGTTTGACATACTACGTTACTGGGTGGTCATAAAAGTCGTGACACATTTTTTGCCTAGAAAAACACGTCATGACTTTCCCATCAACCTAATAATTAGTAAGGGATGAAACAGAAAGGTTATGTTTGTGTGTGGTGGATATTAAGGGTTGAAAAACAAACCTCAACTTTCATAATAGGAAGTCCCCAGATAACTTAAAATGGAAAAATAATAGTAAATAAGGCCATAGGCTTGTTATTTAAATTAATAGAGGTAAGTTCCAGAAGCAGCAGCTAAAAGAGATGAAAATTATTGTTCTGGGAAATAGGAAATGTAGAAAGAGTTATGGGGGACTCCAGCCTAGGTATATATAATCATTTGATTAAAATAAAAAATATGTCCTCCAAAACAGGTATAAGCATATTTCCTGATGGGTTTTTCCTCATACTGTTTCTCAATACTAGTTATAATCACTGTATAATTCTTAAAGAGCTCCCAAAACATGGGATAGTAATTAACACATAAAGGCCTGAAAATGTTTTTCAGGCTAATGTTGCTACAACTTCAGTCTTATAACTGCTGAAGACAGAATCTGTAATTCACCTGTGAGACACTGTAATGACGCTGAAAGTGGGGCTTACAGAGCTATTTTATTTCAGTGCTTTCACTTATGAGTTAATTATATTAATTACGTTTTTAAAAAACTATCTTTCCTTTTCCTACCTCATTTTCTTCCTTCGGATCTTTCAGCTCTGGGATGGGCCACTTTGTATCTTCTTCATAATTCTGCATGTAGGATTTCAAAGAACTGAATTCAGAATCCTTTAATGGCTCCTTAGATTCAGATTTAAGGTGACTTAAAGATTTTTCATCATTAATATCTTGCTAGTAGTTATGAAAGAGAAATTGTTTTATTTTCTATATTAGTGCTATTTCCAAAATCTACATACCTATAAACTGGGAGGAATTTTTCATTATGATGCAAACACTACATTATTTTCTAACATTATATATGACCCTAGGTCTCTTACCATTCTGCTGAATTAATTCAGATCAACAAACATTTATTGGGCACATATTATTGAACATCTACAGAATAGCTCTGTAGATAAAAAAATGAATGCAAGAGGTTAAAGCTGTAAAGGAGCTCAAAAATAGAGTGGAAAGAGACATACAATCAGATAAGCATCATGCATTGTTCTAGGTAGAGCCATCGCAGAAATATGACCAAAATATTAGGGAGGAGGATGTCTAAAACGATGCAATGAAGGAGGTAACACAAACTGTTAGAATATTTAAAAGATGAGTAGGAATTGGCAAGGGAATAGGCAAACAGAGGTAGGTATATGTGTCTGTAAGTGTAGCACATGAGAGAAACACTGAGTTCCTACCATGTGTTTCACTTTCTTTTCATCTGTAATGAAGATATGGGGACCAGCAGATAGCATAATAGTTATGTCACCGGACTCCCACATGTCTAATTGAGGCTCGAGTCCCGGACCTGGAGACTTCAAACTCGTGCTGGGCATGTGTGCATGCATGCCCAAAATCCCAAAAGGAAAATGGAGAAGAAGGGATTAAAGTGTGGCCATCCCCACTGGGGGGTGATTTCTCGCTTTCTATCTCTCTGTCTCTCTCTGTCTGTCTGGCGAACACACGCGCCCTATTGCAAAAAAAAAAAACAACAGGTGGCATGTTGGTTCAGGTGCTGGACTCCCACATGGCCAACCATGTGATTCAAGTCTTGGACTTAATGGCTTGCTTTCTTATTTTCCTTCTCTCTCTCTGTCTTTGTCTCTGTGGTGAGTGTACATGCCTTATGGCAAGATTTAAAATAACAGTAACAAATAAAATTATATAAATAATTCTTTAAAAAAAATTTACAAACTTTCCTAAATTTGGAAAAACCTGTTTCTTCATCTAAAATGAGGATTATTATGGTAATAAAAATAATTATAATATTATTTGCCAAAACCTCTTACCGGGGTAAGTAATTCACTCTCTTTTGATGGTGGACTTATTTTTCGGTCTTCATTAAAATAGTGTTGCTGGGAAGGATAATTCAGCTCTGTTAAGACAATGTCCTCTGGCCCTTCACTGGATTTAGTGTATAAAGCTAAAGGGTTGAGTTCTCTGAAACCCTTGGATTAAAAACAAAAACAAAACAGGAAGAGTTTATTAACATGATCAAGAGAGAAAAAGATGAAAAAAAAAGTTTCATAATTTTCAAGTGTTGCAGAAGTATATTATCTTTTTTTCCATTTCAAAATGAGTTTTTCTTTTGATTATGTGCTATCATATATTCATGGTTTCCCTTTGTCCTTTACTGATTGCTCTTTTTTTCTTTTTAAATTAAATTTTTTACATGAAATTACTGTACATCCTTACAGTGTACATAATGATTTTTCCCAGCATAAATATATTTCATATTAGTCTAGTCCAAGACATTACCATATATTACCATCAACAGGTACCTTTTCATTTTTTAAAAACAAGATATTTAAAACATAACCAGGTAATACTGCCATTTTTTTCCCCTCTGTGTCATTTTCCTTTGTGTGGGTGTGGGCAGTACTGGAGTGGCTGTGGAAAGTATACTATCTTTTAAAATTTAACAGCTAAAGTTTCTCCATATTGACAGTCTCATCTAGATACAAAATTTAACATTATCAATATTAACAGTAATGTAAATATCATTATCAATAACTATAAAATAAAAATGTTGTTTTCTAGGACAATCTCATATAACTAAATATTTTGGGGTAACAGAGAATATCCAACTGATTACTTAAAAGTATTCACATAATAGGCCAGCAGGTGGCATGGTAGTTAAGGTGCTGGATTTTTGAATCCTGAACCTGGCAGCTTGCTTGCTTTCTCACTTTCTCTTTCTCTCTCTCCCTCTCTCTCCCCTGCCCTATGGCAAATTTAAATAATAATAATAATAATAATAAATAAAAGAATATAAGTAAATAACTTTTTAAAAAAGCATTCATATCCTAAAGGATAATTAGCCAAATGTTTTTTAGCAGTCATCTGGAAATTAAAAGTGCTTTGCTTTAAGAAACTAAAAATCTCATGGATGTCTCTAAGATGAAGGAATAAATCACATAACCTTCTGTACTAAATTGACTTAAACCTCAAAGTGTTGAGATTAAACAAAATATGTGATAGGTGCTGGACAGTGACCCAGAAGTAAAACACAACACTCAGTGAAGCTGACCCACACGGGAAGGTTCTGGATTCACATCTGGAGGCCTCCTTGATACAATGGGTACTCACTTCCCCATGATCCAAGGCTGGCTAAAGCTTGGGGTGGACTATAGCCTCAATCCAGCTGCTGGGGTTCTCCTGTTTTCTAACAAAATAAACAAACTTTTTTTTAAAAAGTTACAAAATACATCCAGACTGCCCTACCTTAGAAGGGACATTTTCTCGGCATACAATAGCATGACCCTCTGTTCTCAAGACATGATGGAAATAGACATCTTCATTTGAGGATGTATCACACAGAAAAATGTTAAGGATCCCATCTATGTATTCATCCACTACCCCTACTAATGGCTTCAAGCCACACAACTTCTGGAACTGCAAAATGGCTCTGGATGTCCAGTGTTCCTGAAACAGAATCAAAATACTAGATTCAGATGACAGATTTAAATGTGAATTATAGTAACTCAATAGCAGATTAGATAGAGTTATTAAGACCAAATCTAAAATAGAACATAATTTGGAAAAACTTATCTAGAATATAGCAGGAAAAGACAGACAGATATAAAACAGGAAAAAAAAAAGGTTAAAAAGCATGGAAGAAAATAAAAGTACATCAGTTTAAGAGAGGTTATTGGTATAGGGCACACACACTCACCAGAGAGACAGACAGACAGAAGTGAGAAATCACCCTCAAGGGAGGATGGCCATGCAGTAACCCTTCTCCACCAGTCTCCTCTTGGGATTTTGGGCATGGATGTACATGCACCTGACATGAGTTTTAAGCCACCAGGTCTGGGACTTGAACCGCGGTCAACTATGTGGGAGTCCAGTGGCATAATCATTATGCCATCTGTTGGTCCCAGACTGATACACTTTTAATTATGGTCCCAGTTTAAAAAAAAAAAAAAAGGCAGAAACAGAATGAAAATATAAATTTGGGGAATAAGCAATCAGTGAAGAGATCATGGTTGGGAATTTGCAAGTTTTAATGAAAATTAACAAAAGGAACAGATAAAAGAAGTCCAACAAACCACAGAGTAGAATACTAAAAGTGCAAAACACAAGCAATCTGTATAAACATCTGAAAAACAGCTGCAGACAAAAAAAATGACATTGCCTTCAAAAGAACCCTGTTAGACTGACAGCTCACTTCCCAGAAACATAAGAGAAACCAGAAGACAGCAGCAATATTTTCAACATGCTGGAACTATCAAATGTCAACCTGGAATTCTAACCCTAGTTCATATATTTCTCAATATACATGTAAGATAACGATACCTTTAGATAAACACAGTGAGTTTGACGTCAGCTGACCCTCATTAAATAAAATCCTAAAGGATGAAGTTAAAAGAGAAAGGAAATGTTTCCAGGCAAAGGGTTTAACAGATGAAAATGAATGAAAAGATGAAAAATACATACTTAAATCTAAATGGACATTATTATTATTTTATGGGGTCCATTTCTTGAAGGATTAAATAGAAAAACATAATTATTCAACAAAAATAGTTCAGAAGAGGAGGTTAATAAAATTACAGTATTCTCATGCCCTTGCATTGTTATATATATATTGCAATTCCTGGAGAAATTATTAAAATAATTCAGTGTACTGCTTAGTGAAAAAATTCTAAAAATCTCTTCAAAATAAGGCAAGCAAGGTGAAAAAAAAAGAATAAATATATGGACCGTATAGTATATGTAATATAAAGAATGAGATTTAAACCCAAATATATCAATTATTACAATAATTATAGTTGGACGAAATGCTTCAGCTGAAAGATAAAAGGTATTAGCCCGGATTTAAAAAAAAAATACAAACATACATAGGAAAAGACAAACCTAAAACATAAAGATATAGAGGGATTCAAAGAACAATAGTTTAAAAATATACCAGGAAAATATTAAATGGAAAGTGAGAGATCAACACTAATATCAGAAGAAAAAAATTTGGGACCAGCAGTTGGTGTGATGGCTATGTCGCTGGACTCCCATGTGGTTGACTGCACACCAGCCGCGTGTGCATGCGTGCCCAGGATCCCAAGAGGAGAATGGAGGAGAAGGGATCGTGGAGTGGCCATCACCCTGGGGTGGGATTTTTCACTTTCTGTCTCTCTTTCTGGTGAGTGCATGCACCCTATAGCAAAAACCTTTAAAAAAAAAAAAGAAAGAAAAAAGTTTAAAACAAAAAGCATTAGTAAAAATTAAAAAAAATTTTTTTAAAGTTAACTTTATAATGATAAAATCTTCAGTTGCTAGCAAAGATATAACAATTTAGATATTGTATATGGACCTCAATGTACTACAAATCAAAAACTGAATTATAGGGAGAAACAGACAAAATAACCATCACAGTTAAAACCATATTTCTTTCAATAATTATAGATGGCAGCACAGAAAGCTCAGAAAGGAAGGGGCCAGCAGGTGGCATGGTGGTTAAGGGCACTTAACCACCACATGGCTCGCCATGGTTCCAGTCCTGGACCTGGCGGCTTGCTTTCTTACTTCCCCTCTCTCTTTCTAGCTCTGTCCCTCCCTGGTCAAATTAAAATAAATACAGCTAAATAAAATAATTCTTAAAAAAACTCAGAAAGAATAAAAATTTCTCATAATGAACTGGACCTTATGGATATAGAATACTGCACATAATTGCAGAATGTACACTTTTCAAGAGCACACAGCTATTTAACAAAAAGTGGCTGTGTACTGAACCACCAAGAAGCCACCTCATATTTCAGAGGCCTGGCAGTATTCACAGGCTGATCTCTAAGCACAGTGCATTGAAACTAGAAATCAATAATGGAAGGATATGTTAGAAAAATAATGTTGTAAACTGAGAAACTTTTAAATAATCCATGAGTCAAACAAGAAAGCAAAACATAAATTAGGACAAATTTTTAACTAAACAATAAAACTGCTACACAGTAAAACTTATGAGATCCACCTAAAGAAAGACTAAAAATTAATCAAGAGGTTAGAGGAAGAATACAAAGTAAGCCCAGAGAGGGTAGGGCTAAAGAAATTATTAAAAAGTAAAATATACAGGAAATAAGAAATAGAAAATTATTTGTTGATAACACGTATGTTGATGTGCTTGACTGAGCCAATATACAGTGTACTCTGGATGGGAAATCTCATTTTGTATGCTGTAATGATGTATAGTGAATGAATGTAAATAAATAAATTTAAATTTAAAAAGTAACATTAAAAAAAAGGAGATAAACAAAATGGAAAACATGATTACAATAAAGAGGATCAAAAAAGCTAAAACTACCCGAACCGTCATTGTCAGTATCCCTAGGAGTGATGGTCACATTCACCTGTGGCCTTGGCTCTGGGTCTGTCTTTTCTAGTCACTGCCCCAGCTAGTACCAGCAGACACCATATCAGGCCCCCAAGACAATTATCTACAACAAAAACAGCCACCTCTATGGGGACCCTGATCATTTCTCTAGGTCTCTCATGGGGAACAGAGCCACGCTCACCACAGTTTCTCAGACTGAGGACACTGGTAAGTATTCCCACATGTCACACATGGATAGTTATCACACAGTGATTTACAGTCATGGAGATGTGCAACCAGAACTTCTTCATGGGCTAAGAATATCTCAACTCTGGGGTGAAAGAGAAAGAGGAGGCGGAAATGGCCAGCCCCAATACAGGGAGGGAGGCTCCAGCTCTGTTCTCCTGCCCAGGCTCACTGCAGTCTCTCAGGGACCAAATATTTTATCTTTATAAATAATGGGAAAAAAGAGAGAAACAAGTAATATTTGAGATGTAAAAGGACATATAACTACTGATATTACAATAAATAGACAAGAGACTATTATGAGCAATTTATGCCAATAATATTGAAACTTAAATAAATAAAACATTCCTTGAGGCCAATGGGTGGCGCAGTGGTTAAGGCACTGGACTACCACATGGCCAAATATGGCTGGAAGCCCTGGTAGCATGAAATTCATGCTGGGCGCGTGTGTCTGCATGTGCCAAATCCTAAGAGGTGAATAGAGAAGAGACTGACATGGCCATCTCTCCCTTGGGGATGATTTCTCACTTTCTCTCTAGCTCTGTGTCTTCGGCAAGTACATGTGTCCTATAGCAAAAGTCCCTCTCTTAAAAAGAAAGAAAAAAAAATAAATGAAACATCCTTTGAAAAATATATCATCAAATAGTCTCAAGAGGAGACCAGTAGGTAGTGTGGTGGTTGAAGAGCTAGACACTCCCACATGGCTGAGCACAGTTCACGTCCCGGACCTGGTGGCTTGCTTTCTCACTTTCTCTCTCTCTCTCTTTCTCTCTGTCTCTGTCTTTCTCTGGTCAAGGTAGAATAAATGAATAAATAAAATTAAATAAAGAATTCTTTAAAAAAATAGTCTCAAGAATGAAAACAAAAATTCCACTACGAACCTACAATTTTTTGTTTTAGTACCTTTGAATGGAATGTCAAAATTAACTGAAACAAAACGTTAAGATTAAAAATTTATCAGTCAGGACCAGCAGATGATGTAATGGTTATGTTGCTGGACTCTCATGTAGTTGACCATGGTTTGAGTCCCAGACTTAGCAGCTTAAAACTCATGCAGGGCACGTGTGTGTATGGTGCCCAAGATTCTGAGAGGAGAAAGAAGGGATTGTGGTATGGCAATACCTCCGGAGGGGGGGGGGGGGGTTTTTTGCCGGGGGGGGGGGGGTGATTTCTTGCTTTCTGTCTCTCTGCCTCTGGCAAGTGCATATACCTTATGGCAAAAATCTCTCTTAAAAAAAATGTGACCAGAAGATGGTATAATGGTTATATCACTGGACTCCCACGTAATTGATCATGGTTCGAGACCTGGACCAAGCAGCTTAATCCTCAATAGGAGAATGGAGGAAAAGAGATTGCAGCATGGCCATTTCTTGCTTTCTGTCTCTCTGGGATGTGCATGCACCCTATAGCAAAAATCTGTCTCAAAAAAAAAAATTAAAAATACCAGTCAAGAGCCAGTAGGTAGCATGATGGTTAAGGTGCTGGATCCCATATGGCTGACTTCACAGTTTGAAACCCAGATCTGGTAGCCTGAAAAACATCCCAGACACACGTCCATGCATGCCAAAAATCCCAAGAGAGGAGAAGGGATTGTGGCATGGTTGTTCCCCCAAGGGGTGATTTCTGACTTTCCCTCTCTCTCTGTCTCTCTAGTGAGCACATGTGCACTATGGCAAAGAATCTGGAAAAATAAATTTATCAGTCAAAATCCAAAACAATTGTATCATACAAGCATATACACATAAATTTAAAAATTAAATTTTCAGAATATATTTTTTAAGTCTGTAGTATAAAATTACACTGAGACTTTTGGGAAAAATATGTATCAATATATGTTATAAACTCCAAATACATTCATGGTATTCTTTTAAAAATTCTATAA